ACTCTCGCATCGGTCATTGTCCACTTACGGAGTCATGATACGTTTCCTCCTCCGTTATTAGGGAGGTACCAATCGACTTGTCCTAGCTTCTCGGTATAAGAATAAATTTTCTTTTTTCCTAGATTGTGATAAAATTTATAAGAGAATAGAGGCATACCTTTAGCTTATTGAATGCTCTTCCGCACCTAGGTGTCTATTGAAAATTATTGATTATTTTTAGAAATACCCAACTTTGGATGTTTCGTTATATCTAGGGAACACTAGGTCGATTTATGCCCTTTAATATATTCTCCGATGGTCTTACGGATTAAGGCACATGTAGCTTTAACGACCTTGACGTTCCTCTACCCGAGATATGGTATTTTATCACTTTCTTTGCCTAAGATATATTTCAATTGAGAATAGTGTAGAGTTCTTCCCATAATTCTATGTTACGAATCCTTTTAATAAGAGCTTCCATGAATATGGGCTCTAAGAGCTTGTCTATCTTTAACATTTTCCAATATAACTTGAAAAGGTAAGCATGGGTGTTTTTGCTCCTTTTGGAAAACAAGAAAGAGGTATAACGGGTTTTTCTCAAAAAGGATGTTGATGGGGAATTTATACATAAATTTAGAGCATAAATCTTCCAAACTAACTATTTAATAAAGGATCAAACTGTTATATTATTTTTCATGAGGTTTCTCTAAAGGTGGTGATGATGCATTTGCACATAGCATTTTTTCCTTAAAGCACAAGCTAAAAAGCTCCCTTGACATTTTACATATGTTTTCAAGGGTCGATAGTTCATTCACTTACGTCCAAATCTATCCCTATAGAGATGAACTCTTATAAAAGTTTAGTGTCCAACACTCGAAAGGATAATGGTGAGATTTGGAGTTCTTAATTAATACAACTTGGGTTAGTTTTTTAGGCTATTGATTGTTCTACTATTGATGGGCCTTGTTTGGGCTTTAAGCCTACAAAGACTTGTTTGGGAACATGCACGTAATGATTTCATTCTCACCCTTAACAAGAGTTTAGTGTTTACTGCCTTTGCTCTTTCTCATTATAAATCTTTTTGGTGAATTGTTTTTTATGAGAAAAATAATGCTTGATGATGGGTTGATAAATTATTAACATTTTTTCTTTCTACTCCTAACACTATGACACCTCTCTTCTTCTTTTTAAAAGATAATTGCCTATACATATTTAGGTGAAGGATAAACGAGAGTGCTTATGGTATTGACAAAGACATTGTTAGGGCTTTAACTATTTTTAGGCTAGAAGGTAAGCTTTATTAGAATTTCTATATGTCGTTGTGGTTGGAAAACATCGATCGACAAAATGTTAGGACTAGAAAAATAACAAAGATTGGAAAGACTTGGATTTTTCTAAAATTTTCAACCATGGATGGAAACTTAATGATATAATAGTAAAAAAATTTGAAGATTATGTTTTTGCTCAATTTCTCACATAAGACACTACCGACGAAATGATGATCCTTAGATTGTGATTTTTAGATTGTAATTGTTGATGAGGTGGTTTCTAAACTATGTTGATAGTGTAATTAATTATAGCTTGATGAATGTTAATGTAACGATGGGTACCTATAAAATAAGTCCTCTTTTAATGGTTGGAGGACGTTTTGGTAGCTAAGTTAGCTTACGGGGTAAGGTGTTTACGCTAGATAGGCTATAAGAGATTATCTTCTATATTTATAAAATAGTTGATGATATTGCTATTTTAATTTTAGAATGCAAAACCTATAATTTTTTGTTTGTTAGCCTTTACATAGGAGAAATTGATTATCAACTCTGTATGAGGTAGAGTTAGAGTATTATTTTATCTTGTGGTCAATAGTCTTTGAAATCCACTTGAAAAATATCCATCTTTAATGTTAACCCTTCGACATTATAGGATTGTGGTACTTTTATGGTCATGATCGATGGAACTGATACTATTTAGAAAGTATACATTCTTTTAATGAGTATACTTTCTTGTTCTTTGATTGATGGTGAATAATGAAAAAATAATTGGAACCGGCTTCAAGTGATAAGTTCAAGTCTTTTTAGACCTATCAATAGAACTCTATAACTATAGAGATTGGTTTTCCTTCCCTATATGTTGTTTGTAAAAAGACTCATTATTTTCTTAGATACATAAGTTGCCTTCTGCAGTTTTTAGCTATTTGTATTAGTAAAGACTTGATGTGTACCCATGATTTAAACACATCCTTGAGCAATTTTCCCTTTATAGGCTATTGATTTTTTTTTTATAAGAGCTTGGAAAAGGCTATACATTGCTTTTATGATGATCGAAGTCATGACAAGTCACTTCTACCTTTGGAAGCATAAAAAAAACTCATGATTATTCATAAATTTAGAGATTGTGTTATTTTTAGGGAGTTCAAAAGATGATTTATGTTAAATTGAACGGATGTATGTAGTCTCATTTTGAAACTCCAAACACCTATCATTATTGCTTCCCTGTTATAGGCACTTGTCCGAATATAACTAGGTTTTTGGAGATGATAGGTTACCCAAGGTGTTGTTAGCTAGAGTGATTAAGAAAACAAAAATGAGGGGTAAGAGATATATAAGCTTAGGATTTCTTTCTTTTATTTATTTTACATGTTTTGCCTTTTTTCTTATATTAGTTCTTCTAAAATTATGTTCCATCTTCCTTCTTCTTTTACTTGGATGGTTTTGGGAGAGTGATTCCATCAATATCATTTCATCAAGTTATCGGACGAGTGTGGAATTCTTTATTCAAGTAACCTCACTCGTTATTTTGCTAACATTTGATGAGGAATATGGTTGATATAGATAAATTTAGATCTAGTTTTAGTGTTGTTTTACTATTAGATCCGAATCCCTAAAAAAATAGGGAGTAGCGACATAAAAGATCCTTTTTGAATGGTTAGGTTACCTCATTATCATCTCGATGATGTATTTCCCAGATATGGTGAATGTTGATAGACTAAATAGGTTTGGTAATCCATTTGATCATGGATATAAAGCGAAGACCCACATGTTGATGATAGGATAAACAAATAGTCATTTGAGGTTATACAAAGGTTATGTGACATACATACTCTTGTATGTATGTTTATATATAGTTATACTTATTCGTTAATTGGATTTGTAAGAGATGTGCTCGTCATTATAGCTTATATACTAGTTAGCTTCATCCAAATGGGTGGGCATCTATGGTAGCTTTTGCCCAACTTTTTCGGATTCACTAAGCTAGACTCATTTTAAAGCTTTTTAAGGCTTTTATTATTATTATCATTTTAAAGCTTCTTAGTGCTTGCTTTTTACTATTGATAAGAGCACCAAGACAAGTATGCGGATTGTTGTTTTTATACTTTCTCTATCTAGAAAAAATAGTACTTCATAGGGTTTTTTTATCAAGAAATAAGATCACATATAGAAGTAGCATGGGGGATTGTTTAATGTCTGCTATACTACCAAACTACCCTCGAGTGGTTAGGTAAAAATGTGGGCATGTGCTCATTTTTAGTTAACACCCATGCCAAAATATAATCATGCCCTTGTTTTGTTGAATTAGGAGAATGACTTGTTCAATTCTTAGCAAATGGGAAGAAAAGGAGTATAAGATCAACTTGATTAGGAATAAATTTGGGAGTATAAGATCAACTTGATTGGGAATACATTAATTATGAGTCCAACAATGTTTGACATCCACTTGAGAAAAATATGTCTTTGATGTTGACCTTTATCGGTAGACGACTAAGGTATCTTTATAATCATAGTCAATGAGACAAATACTTGTTTAGAGGATATGATTTTATTTAATGAGTATACTTTTTGTCTTTTAACATGGTGCACGAATGATGTGGAAACAAATGGAACATGCTTAAGGCGATATGTTTGGATCTTTTTGGGGCTATTAGTGAAACTCTAGATATTGATTCAAGTATATTTATGAAGATTAGGCTTCATTACCTATATATGTATCGTTTACAGCAGAGTCCATTACCTTCACAAGTCTTGATTCCCATTTATGTAATAAAAAATTAGACTCAAAATATTTAACTCGATAATATCATGCGAATTTGACTAGAAATACCTCTACTTAACTTTACTATTCACAATCTCTGTAAAAAAAAATATTAATTCTTACAATGTTTTCACTAGGGGACACAAATTAATTGTCAATCATAAGACTTTATTTTTTTCAACTAAATTCTAATTACATAATTTGTGTTTTCTTTACTTGTATTTTTTTGAATTGAAAAAATGTGATTTTTTGGACTAAATTGCTTCAACTTACTAGCAAATGCTAAAAAAATTAATAATTGATTTTTTTCAGTAGACTCTACTATGAGCCCATCAAATTAATTTTTTTAATGCATTTTAATCATAAAAAATGGATACTAATCTTGTCAGAATATATGTATTTATTATTACACAGTTCAAAACTTTGTTTTAGACTAAAATCATCTTGAGTCTAATCCATTTATTATATAGATTAGACCTATGACAAAAAAAATAATATATAAATTTTACATAATAAAATTAATTAAACTCTCAATCAATTTTTCAAGTAAATTCCTGACGTTTTATCATCTTACCTCCCTATATATTTTGCCGTGTTTACACTAGGTAAAAGCTGTTCGAGTCCCAATCTTGCTTTAACTAACGTGGGACCAAAAAGGGCAAAAAAAAAAGTGAAAAGTGCAAGTGGCTTTTCTTAATTTTGAGAAAATAAGAAAGCTGGCCTCCTTTTGTTGATTCTAGTCGGACTCCGAATGCAATCGAGTTTGAGCCATGGAGCTCGTACCATAACGTGATCCAGGAATCCCAAAAGAAAACAAAACAAAACAAAAATAATAAAGCAAGGTTGATTCTGTTGATGGCACGGCAGTGAAAATAGCTACCATAAAAGAGTATATAAATAGCGGTTGTATCTCCTTGAATGGTAGCCAAAAATCTATCAGCATTCATTTCAACAACTCAGACTGCACCCACTTATACGTTGAGTTCTGAGTAAAAATGCCAAGGGATAGAGATCCTCTGACTGTTGGCCGTGTCATAGGGGACGTGTTGGACCCCTTCACAAAGTCTATCTCCCTCAGGGTCAATTACAACTCTAAAGAGGTTAGCAATGGTTGTGAGCTCAAACCTTCTCAAGTTGTCAACCAACCGAGGGTTGATATTGGTGGGGAAGATCTAAGGACCTTTTACACCCTGGTAAGGCTCATCCATATCCTCCTCCGCCTCCTCCTCCTCCTCCTCCTTTAAGTACTAATTTTTATGTGTGTGTGTATATATATATATATATTTAACTTTTTGGGGGTGACTTCATCAAGTATAATCACTGCAGCCAAAGATGCACATTTATTCTCTAGACTCTTCGATATCTGAGCAGTGAAATTCACTTCCCTCGTAGGTTATGGTGGACCCTGATGCACCCAGTCCAAGCGACCCAAACCTAAGAGAATACTTGCATTGGTAACTGGCTTCTCTCTCTCGCAAAATGCTGTATTTTAGTCCTGGTATTGTGGTGGGTCTAACATATAAAACTGTGTTTCGGAGAAGGCATCAACTAGAACTGTTGACTTGAAATGATACTTTAAGATGGTCTCGAAGATTATTTATCGAAAGATCCGATTTTGAATTTAGAAAAAATGATTCATTCACTCCTTATACAATTAATTAGGTTTTTAATATGTCCTTGTATCATTTACTAAGTCAATTTTATACTTAAAAAATAAATGAGTTTTTAATTTATTATTTTATTAATTTTTTTTCATCTAAATTAACACCAGGGATATTCATGCACATAACTTAATTAATATTATACCCAAAAACTCCTCATCTGATAGAACTAATTTATAATTTTTTTTATGGAGCAAATTTAGATTTCATTAGATTGCATAAATTTCAAATCTAAAAGACTTTTGATGAGATGGATATATTAATGAATTATTGTAAAACTATTTTTAAAATCTTATTTAATAGTTTAAATTTTTTAAATGAGATAGATATTTTAAAAACATTAATACACTCCGCATGAAGGCCACGGTACAGCTTCCACCGATTGTCTTGAAAAAAAAAAAAAAAACTTAAACATTCTAATCATTAACAAATCAAGGATTTTTGTTTTGAGTACGGTCGATTTGCTTCAATCGCTCTTTAATTAATCAACAATGGAATTACTTACTTATTTAGTTATCTATCAAAAGTAACACTTCATTTGTACGTAGATTACCATGGCTCTGTGCATTATCTATTATGTATTTCGATTACAACACTTAATACTCTTATAGGATGATTGGTGGACACGGGGGTACAGTTTCTGCCAAATCTGGAAAAAGGCTCTTATAGGGCATGGCTTGTATGGTCTTTCATTTATAGATAAAGATTAAAAGAAGCCGAAAGCTGTATTATGCTGTTATATTCAGAGACAGCGACCCTTGTACTTCTCCCTGCGTGTTTTTTTCTTTCTTCTTTGCTCGACAACACGTTGCTTTCACTGATGTCATTTTTGTTTCATTTTTTCTGCCTTTACTTTTTGTTTGATTGTCGTCCCTCGGTAAGTGAAGCTATAGGGGCATGCATTGGATTTACTAGGATTCTTTTAGGAATGTCCGGTCCTACATGTACTCGAAACAACTTTATGTTTTTTTTGGGTCCTTTCAACTTTCCTTTCCACTATTTTTTTTATTATAAACAAAATATTTAAACTTGAAATTTCTATGAGAAACGAGGACACTGATATCAATTAAACTACACTAATTTTTATTTTTTTATTTGAATACAGGCGAGAGGCACTTTTGGTTTGCATTCCATTAGCTGAAAAACCTAATAGCTAGGTCGCCATCACAGCTATAGATATTTTCAGCGCAAGATGATATGCTGCCATGGCACATTATATGATGCATGGGTTAATAGTGAATGAATTTCTAAACGGCAAACCCGATAATCAATTTTGTTAAATTGTGAATTAGTATTAATATAGAAAAAAATGTAATAATTTTACTCTTTCATTTTTACACGACATACGAGGAACAAAAGCTTATCTCATATATACACACGCGCATCGTAAGTGGAACATACTCATATTTATTTGAATTTCAACAAAAACTAAATACTTGTCTTTTCAATGATGAGCTTGCAGGATGGTGACTGATATTCCAGCAACTACTGGAGCAAGCTTTGGTAAGTATATTTAAACTGATATTCTTTTTAAAAGTTCCGGTAGGACCCTTTTAAGCACTTTTAGTTGTAATGGTGCGTAAGTTTGTTTAGTGTGTCTGTGACGCATTGGTGGAGAAGGACATTGACTTATGATCTTGTTGGTGAAGCATCGGGGTTGTCAGGATAGCAGTATCCTTCGAATCTGATTCTCATGAGTGATGAACATGTTGTAGTGAATATCTTGCTGGATCAAAATTCAGTGGTCCCTGGTACTTTTCCACCAAATGAACAATACCCTTTGACCTTTAGATATGCGTATATTTTGCTAGCCCATAGTTGGATCAAACTTTAGTGGCCCAGTAGTCCTTTTTCACGAACGGAGTAACAACCGATTAGTTTTAGATAGTCTTAATTAACTATACTTTTTGCTTGAATAGTATTGTTTTTCTTATTTATATATATTCTAAAATATTTATTTTATCAAAAATATAAAAAAAATCAACGTTTTTTATATTTTTTTCTTATACTTATAAATACTTTTAACATAAAAAAATATTTATTACATGAAAAATATTTATTCCTACAAGGACTTTATTACATACCAAAATTTTAGTAAAATATTTCTATTAGCATGTTATTTTTTTCATAATCATTTTAAGTAATTTTTTTTATTTATCACCTTAATTTTGAATAGATTTTTTTCTTAAATTAATATTGGTTAAATGTAATATATTATTAAAGTTGATAATTAATAATTTTAATAAAAAGTGTATATTATAATAAAAAGAATATGTACGAGGAACAAAGATAATCGTTAAATAGCATTTTTTTCCCAAGAAGCGTAGTTGAGAAATGTCGTGAATATAGTATATTTTATAATAATCATATTTCAAATAATTGTCATAATTTCACCTATTGATCATCAATATCTTAATTTCTTAATCAAATAGCTAGCATTGTGCATTTTATTTCTACTTATGGCCAAGGTAATTTCTTATATATATGGATTTTGAGGGGACAAACAGTGAAAGTAGATTAATTTGCTTTCATTTTGCTGTCGCTTTATTTTTTAAACCATATTATGTATGATCAAGCTATTCACTGTAATCTGTAGCAAATTTTCTAATTCTGATATTTTGATGAACTGTCTTCATGCAGTAGAAAAATAAACTCAGCATAAACTGATTCTAAAATACCTCTGACATGACTGTATAATTTTCATTTTCTTAATATGTTCTTACTTATTTCCATCAAGATTTTCATGTAATGAAGTAACTTTATATTGATAATTTGCATAGGCCAAGAGGTTGTGTTCTATGAAAGCCCGAGGCCGACAGTGGGAATCCATCGGTTTGTTTTCGTATTGTTTCGTCAATTGGGGAGGCAAACAGTGTATGCTCCTGGGTGGCGTCAGAATTTCAATACCAGAGACTTTGCTGAGCTCTACAATCTTGGATCGCCAGTAGCTGCTGTTTATTTTAACTGCCAGAGAGAGAGTGGCTCTGGTGGAAGGAGGCGATAGTAGAAAGACCCTTTTTATCAGTGCAAGAGAGACTAAAAACAAATCTATATTATTTATATGGCAAGGCTGCATAGACAATATTATTATCTACTTTCCTCCATGATCCCTTGAGAATATATGTGCTTGTAACGAAAATGTCTAATTACATCAAGGTATCAATAAAAAGGGAAAATATATATGATTATTATAAGTATTAATTGCTACATCTCTCTGTTTCATTTCATATACTATATCCCAATATATGTCCACTCCTTTTTGTTGCTTGTACACAAATTCAGTAGACAAACAGTGTCTCCAATTTATCCTCGAAAGTTTGGCTTTGGATTTGATTTTTTTTTTTTTTTTACCCGGTCATAGTTAGTCACAAAGAGTGTTTTTTTTTTTTGAAAAAAAAAAAAACAAACCAGAAGACCTAATGGATTGTTCAAAAAACACTCCCCCTCCCAATAATTCAAATTGAGCCGCTTACCCTACTCACTCACCTTCTTCCCCTTCTTTCGTAGATGAAAAAACCTAAGAAAAGCCAAAATTTTTGGCAAAATGAACCCAAAATTATCAGCATCGCTTTATGGTTGAAGGCCCTTTCTAAGTAAATTAAAGAATCAAAGCAACAAAAAAAATGTTTAGTTTTTGGTAAAAATAACTCCAACCCTTATTACTTTGTTGAATTTTCTCTAAAATTCTCAATGATATACAACGTTTATGTTTAATCTCATTTACTTCGAATTACTTACACAACCCTTAATAGTTTATTTGCCTTTTGTACTGTCTTGCAAGTGGCAAGGAAAATTCCGAAGAATCCTTATCTTACATGTGACTTTTTCCTAACGTGGAATTTACACAGACAGTTTTGTTTTTTTTTGAAATTCACTTTAATGGTCCAATGGAACAAGAATAAATTATATTTTTAGTTTCAAAAACTAAATTAATTATTTAATTTTTATATTTTTAAATTTTCTTCTAGTTTAATCATTTTCGTCATTTTTAAATTTTTTAATTTAAAAATATGGAAAAATTGATTAGAAATAACGATATTTTCTAAACAAAATAATATTAAATTAAACATGATTAATAATAATTAGTTTTTAAAATAAAAAAAATTAAATAAGATATTTTTAAAATACAAAGGGACTAATTTATAATTTACTCAATTGAATGGTGATACGAGACATCCGGATGAACAAGCGATCATGAATGGAAGTCGCCACTTTCTTTCTTCGTATACGGTGTTCTCTTGGTGTTCCTAAACTCGCCAATAATCTTGCTACCTCGTTAATGACGGTCCTAATATTCTACATAGCAAGAAGTCAAGGGTTTAAAAAACTTATAAGTTTCAAGGACCATCTTTCTCCTCGAGAAGCATCTTTTGGAGACAAAATTATTCTCCATGATGCCGAATCCAAATCATATCAACGGACGTCAAAAGTCTGCTAGAACTCTTACCCCTTGTTTGGATATTTCCTCCCGAGAGAAAAGAAAAGAGAGGAAAGATAATGAGAGGAAAGAAAATTATTTTCCACTTATTGTTTGGATAAGAGTGGAAATGAAAGGAAATAAAGTATATTTTTCTTGTTTGGATAATTGTAAAAAGAGGAAGGAAAAAAATGTATTATTATATATTTACTATAATACCCCTATACTTATATTTCTATATTTAAATACTTATAATAAATTTGTATGAATAGTTTTTTCATGAAAATAATACAAATGATAATAAAATAAAAATCTAGCATGTAGCATTTATCTAAAATTATAAAATGGATAATGAATCGTCTCCATAGAATAATCGATAATTGTTAATTAATTAATTAATTCAATAGCCAATTTAGATTAATTATCAATATAAAATTAATTTAAATATGTATAACATGTATTATTATCTATGCATTTAATAAGTTAGTTGCTTTTACCTATCATTTTCTCAGCTTTTTTAATTAAAAAATTACTATTTATCAATCTAAAAAAAAGACATTAATTACATGAGGGTAAAAATTAGATGGAGTTTTCTTACATTTAACTTTCCTTATGTCATAGAACTAGCAAACTCTTATACATGATTTCACTTTAAAAGAATATTTATATTTTATTTTAAAAGATAATATGCTCGATGTAAATACTTATACATGGTTTCATTTTAAAGGAATATTTATATTTGTCCGAGTGTATATGCTTTCGATTAACAACGTAATCCATTGCTCAAATTTTTTTTTATTTTGTATAAATAAATAAAGATAATATGCTAGATGTACGGCAACACTCCATCTTGCAAAACAAACCATCTCGGCCTCCAACCTTTCCCATAATTCACCCACTTAAATAAAATCCCAAAAATTCCATTCCCTACCATATCATTTATCTTCATATCCACTCGTATAAGTGGTTGCTCCCTCATAGAAGAAACTCTCTGTTGACTCATCCCGTTACTTTTGTTACAATCCGTTCCGTTATCACTACTGCAGTTGTTGACGGTGCTCGTGGTTGTGGGGGTGTTAATTTGAGAAATGACTAGCGTTGTTGTGATTTTGGTTGTGGTTATATGGTTCAATAGTGATTGATACAGGATTGGGGTCGGATTTGCCAGTGATTGCCATGGATAGATTCGTTGGTGAGTTATCGGACACGGTGGAGATACAACAAAGTGGATGCATAAGGAAATTTCTCAACACAAAACACGAGTGGAGAAGGACAATAAAGAAATGGAGAAAGCAAACCAAACGAACGGAGAAGATGAGGGCAAAAATGACAATAACCATATTCTTGATGTTTTATCCGTGATTTTCCCCAGTTTCCTCCCAATTTTGGAAGGAAAATGAGTCCCACCAAAAAGCTATTTATTTAATATTTTTTTTTCTTTTCACTGATTTCCTCTTCAAACCAAACGAAGGAAAACGTGTCTTACCTCCCTGTTTTCTTTTCTCTCCCCTGCTTTCTTCCCTATCCAAACAAAGGGTTAAAGCTGCTCGGTTGACCGAGTGCAATACACCCTACTCCCTCCCTTAAAGGTCTCTTGTTTGCTCATCCTTAAGTCGAATGAGCTTCAAGATTTTAGCTTAATGCGGATCCATATCACCTAGAGCCACCCAAGATCCAGGCCTGGATAGCCTGAATTCGCAGTTTACACAGATCTTAAATTATGGGCCGAGGCTTGTTCTGAATGAAAAGAACCAATCTCAGCCCATTCAGATGCTATCCATCTGAGTTGGGCTCAAGGCCTACTGGACACACATTTTAAAGGTCAACATGGATTTGGATTGAGCTTATAGACAGGACTTGGCAGGAGTCCTGCTGTTGCGAAGCCACCTGGCAATTTGTGAAAATGGACGCGCCAAATGGAATTTTATTTTCGGCAATAAATTCTTTTTGGCGGTTGGAGCCAAAATCAAAGCTGCACGCCGCTCTTTCTCTTGGCGGGAAAAACATGATTATTATTATTATTATTTTTTTTTAATCTTCTCTTTGAAGAATCATGCTCTTTCTCCATTTACTTAACATAATAAAATTTAAAAATCACAGCAAATATTTTTAATCCCATCCTTCTCTTTCTTACCGATCGCTATCATGTTACATCCCAACTTTCAATAAAAAGCCAAAACAAAAACCCAAAATTTGAAAGAAAAAAAAAAAGAGAGAGAAAAAAAATCCAAAAAGATAAAAAGAGAAGTGAGAGAGAAAAATGAAATCGAGGCTCCTTGTTTGAGAAGCACATCAAAGAAGATACCCCAGGTCTCAAGAAAACACTGTTGTATTTTCCTTGACGCCGAGCCAAAAAAATCCATTTTTTTGTTAGAATTAGGGTTTTGAACTTGAGTGAAGCCAATGGCGGAAATGGTGAAGATGGCAACTGACGGCGAAGATGAGTTAAAACTGAACGGCCAAGATCAATCAAAGAAGAGCCTGAAGCGAAAGCGTGCAACTGTAACACCAGCACAACTAGGGCAACTTTTGAACATGACAGGCGAAGAGAAAGAAGCCCGGATTGAGGAATTAAAGGGGGAAATGGAAGGGCTATTTGGGTATTACAGAGAAACAGTGAATCAAAAAATGGGTTTTGGGTTTGGTGTAAATTTGAGTGGAAACGAGTGTAATAATGTGAATGGGATTGTGGGTTTATTAATGGAAGAGAGTGACATGTCGCTTACGAAATTGGTAGAGGAAATATATGAGAAGTTAGTGAGAAAGAGTGGGAATTTGACTGTTGCAGTAGTGAAAGGTGCTGTGTTGTTTGTTGGTCAAAGAATAATGTATGGTGTCCCTAATGTAGATGCTGATGTTCTGGAGGACGAGACTCAAGCTTGTCTTTGGTGCTGGGAGGTATTTTTTATTTTATTGTTTTTGGTTTTTTTATGGATTTGTTTTGTTTTGTAATAAATGATTATACCTTGCCTTGATTATTTTGTATCCTTTTTAGCTACTCATGTGTTTAATGCTTGTGTTTAAGCTTGTTACTTGTGGTTAATAATTTGATTTGTGTGCTTGCTGTTGTAGACAAGAGATTTAAAGCTAATGCCAAAATCTGTCCGTGGTGCATTGAAAATTAGGCGTATGTGTCGGAAAAAGATCCATGAGAGGATCACTGCTGTTTCTGGTAATATATGATTTTTGCAGCTGCTTTGCGTTTGTTTGTAATTAGTGGCAAAAACATGAGATGGATCTGGTTTATTCTTTTTCAGTACTTGATTTATAATTGGACATTTTGTTGGTTTAATTTTATGTGTCTAACAGAATATAGACACAATGACCTATTTAGAGATGGGTAATGGTTAATATTTATCTTGCTCTGTGCAATAATTGTGCTTGGACAGCTGCCATACTTTGAATTTTATGAATGCTCTATATTTTTTAGCATAAATAAGGTTCAAATGGATGAAACAAATCTGCTTTAGTGTCTATGAAGTCTGACCAGACACCTTAATTAGGGCATGCAGTTCTTTGATACCTGTTTACCATATTGCTTTTCTTATCTATTTTCTTGGTTGATAGAGTTAAGAGGTATGCATAACGAATAATAAGTGAAAATTGCTGTTAGACATGCTGCCTATGTCCCGTACAGGATGGCCCATTTCACAGATGATAAAGCTTTGCACTTTCTTGTGGTTACAATGTCATTACTGATGTATTTGACTCATTTTTCAGCAATGATAACTGCATTACAAAAGTCAGAGACTGATCGAAATTACGAAAGTGATTTAATAACATCATCAGAGAAGCTTGGTAAAGTTTTAAGAGAGGCAGACATTAGATTGTTAGTGGATGGCATGCTACAGAAGAATGGAGCAGAGATGTATGTATCTAAAAAGGCTCTATTTTGCGGGTACTTTAAATCATATTTTTCTTTTTATTAAATATTGAAGTGTGATTGCAGGGCTGATAAGGAAGCAAAACGAGAAGAGAAATTGCTCATCAAGCAATTGGAGAAAAATAAACGAGAACAGGAAAAGGAGAAAAAACGGATGAACCTTGAACTTCAAAAGGAAAAGAGACAAACTGTATGTTCAAGCCTCTCCCTTTTTTTGGGGCAACAGGAACAATGTTGCTTGGGTCATATAGCCACGCTTGAGATTGTTTTGCTAAGTTTTGAAACACTTTTGCAGTTTGTAGTTGTATTCATATCATTCATTTAATATATTTCAGGAAAAAGAGCAAAAGCGATTGCAGGAGGAGGCAGAAAAAGATGAAAGGCGTCGTGAAAGGGAAGATTCTGAAATGAAGAGACAACTGAAAAAGCAGCAAGAGGAAGCTGAGAAGGAACAGCGGCGCAAAGAGAAGGAAGAAACTGAGTTGAAAAGGCGACTTGCTGTACAGAAGCAAGCTTCAATGATGGAACGCTTTCTAAAAAGAAGCAAAAGTAATTCACCATGTCAGAATGACCAGACTTTAACTAAAGCAACCATTTTGGATTCACCAAGCAAAGAGAGTAAAACAATGGGTGAGGCAGTTACTCAACTGATGGACTGTGCTCTTTCGTTAAATGATGACATTCCAACTGATGACATTCGCAAGTAGGTTCCATGCTTCCCAGGCTGCCCCCTTCTCCTGCTTGACATTTTTGCCTACGGTGACTTGACCTTCCTGGGCAGATGAATATGTGATGACTGACACTGATTCATTTTGCAGGTCACATTTATCTTCTTGGCGTCATTTGGGTTGCTCTATTCGTTCCAACAGAAAGCAGCATTGGAGCATCCGTAGGAAGCCTAAGACTGGGCTCTTTAAGGAACTTAAGCTAACTGCTATCAGGGACCCAACTCATGATGATGATTCAAGTGTAGAGAAGCTTGATAGTGGATGGGGAGATCAAACTTCTGATGACAGATCTTGCACTGCTGTTAGAAAGTGTAATCAGAGGAAGCAATTGTTGCAGTTTGATAAGAGCCATAGACCTGCATTTTATGGTATCTGGCCTAAGAAAAGGTAATCTCCTCTTTTCTAGGATTGTATCATGACACTCAATATAAAGACTGATGGGTTTAGGGAGTGTAGTAATTTCTTCTGGAAGTGTTGACATAATTACACTGTTTCATGTCTTCTCTGGGTTATGTTTAGGCCACAATGCTTGGTTTCTAGTAAAGTTTTTCTATGTACTTATTTACTTTTAATTGTCAATATGTAGTTCATGATCAGATAATTCAACATTTTCAGTGTTTATGAGTAGAATAAACACATTAATTTGCATTCCTTTTGTTTGATATTTTTATTATAAATCACTGCTCATTGTTGTGCAAAATGCCCAAATGTGCTCAAGTTCACCAACTCAAGGGCAAAATGCTCTACCTTTTAAAGAAAGGAATCCTGTTTGATGAAGGTGAAGCTTGACGGTGTAAAGCATGATGTTTTTTTGGAAGCTCTAGGTGCTAAAGACTGTCTCTTCTCCCCCTATTTTCCAGTAAAACCTGCACACCCTACATTTGGTGATGTTTGGTCAACATCTTGTCATTAGCAACTGGTCTGACCTTTGAGTTAATTGCCTAAAGCAATCACTATTTTTATTTTTTCTTCAGGTTTTATTGCCTACTTCTTGTAGAGTTCTTGAAATGATTAGATCTTACATTTTAAACTTCTTGGTTCACCCTGTTTCTGTATTTTTGTGCCTAGGCTCTACTAGACCTTTGTGCTTAAGTGCACCTTGGGCTACTAAGACTGATATTTGTCTGCTTAGTGCAACAGTTGGAAATTCAATGCTAATGTGTGTGTTTTCTCAGGCTTCTTAGTTTTGTCTTCAGTGTCTAGGTCCATACCAATTGTGAGCTTGTGTTGATTTTCTGGTGAATGTAAAATTGTAGGTTTAGTGTCATTTTCTTGTCAATCCTCACCCTTGAAGGTATTGCTTGGAATCTTGGGTTGCATATGGTTGTATGTTATTTGACTGTTATGCCACTTTTTCAGTTATGCTGTTGGACCACGCCATCCATTTAGGAG